AGTTTACTATAGCGAGGAATACTCTATATACCACTTAAAAAATTCAGCGTTTGTAAACATTCGCAAGAATTGAATATTGTCATTTTTCTTCCTCGCCGAGATTTATTAAAGAAAAGTGTCGTTCAAAGTGGGCAAAGCAGAACGAAATAACCTGTACATTTTCCGGCGGCGTGTAATTTTACGCGGAGGAAAACAAAGCGAAGATGAAAAGAAGTAGAAACGAGACTGCTTTACAGCGTTTTTGGCCGGAATGAAATTTTCACGAGTACGTCTTTGCCACCTGGAAACAAAGCGATTTTTCTCTTTTTTTTTCTTTCTCTTTTTTCCTTTTTTCCCCCCCGCCGAACAAGTGCGCCAGTCGAATTTTCACCTCAGCCGTCGAGCTCTCGACACCCATGACTTTCAATCAATAGCTGCAATTCAATTGAAAAGGTTTCAACGAGATTTGCATTCCACAGTGTTTTATCGACTACATTTTCGCGATTGCCGAGTCTCTGATTTTATTCGCATGTTGCATTATGGAAATTTATGTAGCATCGTTTGATTTCGAACATTAGTTTATTTATAAGATTCATGTGGGGGATGGATAGAGAAAGCGTTCTGACTAATTCAACGAAAGCACGAGCTTTGAAAAAAGGAAGAAAGATTTATTCTTTATGGAAGGTGGTAAATTGAAGGCGGCAAGAGTTTCGAGAGTTTCCCACGAACGGAGACGTTTTCTGTGTCCAAAAGAATCCTATGCATACAAATAAAGAGGGGGAAATAGGTGATAAAGACTAAGTGTTTAGATAAGACGTGCTTCTTGGGTTGGTACAGTGGCGTAACTTGGTTTCTTCTTCAAGTTTCAAATACCTTTACATCTTCTGCTGAATGGTAATACCTGAGTTTGGAACGTTTTTACAGTAATTCGTCTGTAAATGAATTTATACGTGGAAAAATAAGAAGTACAATTTTTACTAATTTTATTTCGTATATAAAACACATTTGAAGGAGGGTTTATTTTGTTTGCACACATTCAAGACGGAAAAATTAACTTGGACTATGTGTTCATGTATATACAAATTTTTTTAATAGATATGAATTAAATCGTATCAGAATGTAGTGTTTAATTAGAAAATTTGCAGCAGATTTGGTACCTGACATTATTCAGCGTGTACTCTTTATTCACTTTTATACAATATGTGAATAATAATTATTTATTTAGTCCTTGTATATCATATGTAATATTAATTTATTATTTTGATTTTTCTCACTGCCATAAATAATTATTATTTATTAATTAGAAATGGGACAAAATAACTTGTGTATTAGTATATAAAAATGTATTAACCTCATAGTCAACACAGTTCAATATTTTCATACTATAAAATCAGTTTATACTATTTTTATATTTATACTTACGTTATAATTAATTTATAGCAATATAGTTAAATACTCTCGGTATACAAAATCAGTGTACATAAAAATTCATGAACGATACAGTCAACACAGTTGAATACTTTGAATAATTAATCGTTTAATTAAATTGAAATTTTAAACGTTAATATTCACCCTTGAACTGCACCATCCGTTTGTTTAAAATCTCAAAGGAATTTCTTGTGAAACTGCAAACAGCGCGTTGTTGATCTCTTACGCGGTTTTCGAAGTCTCTTGCTCATTTCACCGGCATAAAGCGTTCGAAGTGACCCCGGCACAATGAAATAAATAAAAGAGGAAAAAGCTTAATTGAGTTCGATCGACGGTTGCATACCGTGGTTCCCGTTGCGCTTTATTTTTGGCTAAAGGTAATTTCCGGCTGCTTCGTTGATTGAACCTGGGGCCAAGTTCTGTTGTAACGGGGAAACTTTTATAAATCTGCCGTGGAAAATGCTTTTCGCTAACTTTACTATAAACGTCTGCAATTAAAATGGTCATTCCGTGTAAGAACGGGCCAGAAAGGAAACTTAGTGTTATAACTTTAGCCTCGACCATCTCCGAGCAGTTTCGATGATTTACAACGTAATTAATTACCGAAAGAATGAGAAAGTAAGGGGTAGAACGTCTTCGAATAGAGATAATGCAACGTAACTATGTAGAGAAAGTATTATCTTTGGAATTATTGAAAGTAGAAAAGAAATGTTTTACGACGAGTTTAAATAATTTAGAGCAATAAAGGTAACATTTTTATGTCACATTATTTATGAAATTAAATACTATGGGAGCAAACTTGGAGCTGAAATAATTTCTTAAATTTACTAAGAAGTATTAAAAATGTAAATAAGAAGAATTTTGGCTAAGAATACAGCTTTCGCCATAATTGATACAAATTAATAAAAATCCTAATTAATATGTAGCTCTCACCATAATTTATTCGTAGGCAAAAATCTCTGCTATAATTTTGTTACTCTTAAATGCGTACTAGCATTGCAACTAGCTTCCTCAGGACTCAAGTGCCACTACGATGGCTTAAAACTACGATGTATGTATTAACTCTGCTCAGGTCTATCGCAGAAATAATTTAATAATTAGTCAGCTGAACAATTAAAAAATTTGGACAAGTGATGTGACAAATGATATTGACTTGGTAGCCAGCATCCCTGTTCACTACTTCAATGCTTTCTTATTTTCAGGGATTCCCTGTATTTTCTGAGAAAGTACCCTTTGGCCTTAGCTATAATTCTTGACCATAATAATGATTTAGCCTTAGTGGCAACAATGATTTGGTCTCACAAAGCCATAATAATGATTTGGTCTTAGCTGTAATAGTGATTTGGTCTCAGAAAGCCATAGTAATGATTTAGCCTTAGCTGTAATAGTGATTTTGCCTTAGCCATAATAATGATTTGGCCTTAGCCATAATAGTGATTATGTTTTACCTGTAATAACGACCACAGAAAAATCTAATATTTTCTAGCCTATACGTATTAGATCTTCTGCTATAGCTGATTGGACGTAGCTCAGTCTGATGTACTCTCACGCCTTCCTCCAACTAGATACTGCTGAATAAATGGATAATTCGTGGTTTATTCGATTTGTCCTGGACCATTTTGAATAGAGTACTTCTGAACTGTGAAGTCCAACTCTAAGCAAGTCAACCGAACTCTAATCTCGTTGTAATCTCTAGCTCTAAGTGAAACTCTAGTTAACTCGAGCACCTCTATTCTACAGAATTATCCAATGGGATAAAGTAAAGTCTTTAAAGCAACGAAACTGCATTTCTTATTACTCCTAGATTACTCGGCACCATACGTGCAAACTCTCTAACCTAAACCCACCCTCTTCATCTCTGAGAAAACGCGGGAAACACGCTTCCATTTGAAATCAACGAAAAATGTTAAAAAATATTTTGAAATATTTCAATTGTAATTAAACGAACCTACGGTGCGATACAATTCTATTCTAAAATCTGTTCTACATTATTCGTAGCAAAAACATTCCTCAGAAGCGTAGAATAAGGAGATTAAGGGAACGGAACAAACTCTTGCCTCAGTTATGTTCTTTAAACCGAAGAAACTGAAACACGGGGGTAGCTACGCAGATAAAGGAACAATTAACACGGAGAATAGCTAGAATCTTTCTTGAGGAGCGGCAACTCTTGCGTGGGGATCGTAAGATGGAATTCTTTAGCTTTGAAGATTATTCTGGCGCAGTCGGTCTGCAGCTGAACTAAAATCACGCGAAACGCTTGGCCTTTGTAAAGTAACGCGAATACTTTGGCCCTGTGCTATCCGAATTAGTTAATAGGAACAACGAGTTGTTCCTAGCGGTGATTTCTTGCGAGAATGTACAGGGTGAAAAGAAAATCGAACTTTGTGGTTTTTGTTAAATTTTTATTTCGACAAAATTAATATTGGTAATTTTAATTATGCGTCTGTTTATTTTTGGAATTAATGGGATTATTCTTTTTCACTTCAGAGTGACAATTTTAGAATTGGAAACGAGTAGTTTGTTTGTATCTTTGTCTGAATTTAATTTTTAGTTTTCCGTACGATGTAATTCAGAATGAAAGCTTTTTCCCCCGATGCTATAAAATTTCATGTTTCAATCGCGTATCTCCTTCCGCATTCGTGCACACATGTCGCGCATAAAATCACTATGTTTTTCTTTCATTAAACGATAGCGTGCGTGAAATATGCCGCTCGACTCGGAGCTTTCGATTCCGTTTCAGCACAGTCTTCCTTTTTTCTTTGTTTCTTCAATTTTGTAGTTGTAAGCGGAAGAATCTATGGACATCGTGGACTTTCTTTTGCCGAAAGAGCTGAAAAATGGATTTTTCAATACTTTTTTGCAACCCAGGATCAAAAACGTTTGATACACAATTACAATATTTGACAAAATGTCCAAAAAGTGGGAATCCAAAACGCTTTTACTATACTTTCACGAGAACCTAAAAAATTGTTAAAAGAAAAATACTTATGCTTACACAAGGCTTAACTTTAGCATCCAAAAAAAAATACCCTTAACCTATTTGAGGCCAAAGACACACTCTATGTGTAACGATCATGGATTCATATTATATTATTGCTAAACTAATCATGCAAATAAGATCATTTTTAAACACAATAAAAGTTGAAGCTCTATATATTAGGTCTACCGGATAGTTCTGTCCGATAATGTCATCTCAAGATCCAAAAACGAGACATTCTACAGAAATGGAATCCACAAATTACCATCACGCTGGTAAGAGATCATTCGTAACGATGGAAAATGTATTATTTTCTCTTTATTCAAAAACGGACAGAACTTTCCGGCAGACCTAATATACTAAAACCTACGTTGGTTTCAACCCAAGACCACAAACATATTATATCACAGCCTAATTTATACCAAAATGTCTCCAACGTTAATTTTCCACTAACCCAAACACCTTTTCATTTCCCATTTTTTCAATCTAAAGAAGAAAAACAAAATTTAACTCCCACGGTCCGACTTTCGAAACGTCTGTGTCCTCGAGTGTCTTACAACAGTAGAAAGTACGAACGGTCAAAGCTGAAGAATTCCTTTTTCCCTCCATGTTGCAGGCGTGATTACATCTGGCGGCGGAGGCGGCGGAGCGAGAGATCGGTACAGCGTGAGTTCCGCTTCCGCTTTGGGCTGCGGCAGCGAGAAGCATCGCGACGACAGGCAGGGCAGAGCGCTGGACGGAAAGAGCGGGATCAGACGGGAGAAAGAGGAGGACACGAAAAGCGCGGACAACGTTTCCAGGAGCGCTTTGCCCTCGAAGCAGAGCCTCTTGGACCTGCTCAGCAGTAAATGCATGAGCCGTCACACGCACACGCATCATTACTGCCATCAGCAACAGCAGGTTGGTGTTTGATACTTGTTCCCTGTTTCCCGTATCGGCTCCCGAGGGCGTATTTTGTTCGTGGCATCGACAGTAGGCTCGGTACTGATTAGGTTATTACGTCTGGTGATGGGATTATGCTCGGTGTACACGCCCGTGTTCTCTGAGTTTGGATTAATCTGATAATCGTGTGGCTTTTCGTTCGATTCGAGCGAACCTAATAAATGCCCCGTTTCCGATGTAACCGAGCTGTTGGATAGGTATGTGCACGGTGAGTGGGGAATAATTGAGGAGCTTTCTGGGGGAGAGACTCGTAGGTTAGTTTAGGTAAATTCTTCTTCTTTCCCTTCAAATTTTCTTTCGATCGATAAATGTCAGAGCAGCAGTTTTTCTTCACCTTACAGTTCTGTGTAGGTAAACTTCTAATGCGGTTTAGGCAAAGTTAGGCATCCCGGAAATTCAACAAATTATGAAACTTTGCGTGCAAGTGGAGTATGTCATCCGTGATACAGCCCTATTTTTCGTTGGTGCCATAGGTTTCAAGGGGAAAAATTCAGAATTTTCTAAGGAACGGTGAGAAATATCTGAAACAAAGTTTAATCAAAACTGCAGTTTACTAAACTGCTTTTCATAATTTTTTGAAATTCCGGGTTGCCTAACCTTCCTTATCAATTCACTATTTTTTCCTGTGAGCCCTTTTTTCAGGAAACTCCTCAATTACAGGTCCAAGGGAAACTCGAAGGAATTTACTTAATACTTGGACGAACCCTGCAACTAATATACAGGGTGTCCCAATTGGTTTTCATCAAACTTTGTCAGCATCTTCTACGGGTATAAGTGAGAGAAAAATGTTATACGAACATAGGTCGTTTGAAGCTTCGTTAAAAAGTTATAGCGATAATACAAAATGGGAATAGAGCTGAACCAATATTCACAGTTCTATCGAATAGTTTTGTGATAGGTAGTTCGATATTTCCCTCAGGTATACAGAAAAATGACGTTCACTCAGGTCGCAGTATCTTCTAAGAGCTACAAAAAAATAATTATCTTTCATAGCACAATTTGCTGTTTAGGGAACTCGACGACAATTGCTTTCACCCTACAATTATTCACACCACTGTATAATAAAACGAACAATTCGATCGAGCCAACAGTCTTCGTAAATCCCAAACGAAAGACATTCCGTATTTCTTTATCGACATTAAGCTTATGATTTATCGACATTAAGGTATTATCTCGCGCAGCATTTAGTATAACATTTTCCGTCAAAGCGGTCTTTCCAGAAATGGCAAACTCGTACGCTTCAAGAAGATTGAGTGACGTTCATTCGGTTACCATTTATGAAACAATACGATTTTCTTACTTTTATCGGTCCTTTTTATTATTCTCGTGCAACGCGCGTGTGTGTGTGTACAACAAAATCTGCTCGCCTGGCATAGTAGACGAAGAAAGAAATGCGATAAAAGCATTTGCCGGAATTCATCCCCGTTAGCGCTCCCGACACACGGTATCCACGATTTATTTGACATTACGGGGGCCATTTATGCGCGTGCGACTAAATCGTACCGCCTCGCGAAAACACGTGCAACCACAGCTGCATTCTAACCACACGGATTTGCAACTTGACGTGGAAGCAACTGTTCATTTGTTAACACGTCGGTGAAACGTGCGAGTTATTTACCATTTCGTATTAGTAGTTTTTTCTTAGTCCATTAAATTAACATAGCGCTGAGGTTTGATCGATTGTCCAGGTTGAAGTTTAATTTGAAAAGTAGCTCACTATCGGATGTGCGAGTGGAAAGATAATTCAATTAAAGTAAGAGAATTTTTCTCACAGTTAATTAAATTTAAAAGTTAATTAATTAAATAGTAAAGAATTATTTCTAAATAGAAGAATTCTCGCTGCATTTGGTGATATATTTTATTAAAAGTCAAACTTAGAGGAACAAAGAATACTTATTCCAATATTTCAAATTTCACTCGTTTCAATTTTTCAAATATTATTCCATTTGTTTCTTTAAATTCCAACTTACTTTTATTTTGGAAATTATAAAATTCATTTCTCTCGTATATCCGAGTTTCTCCAGCTTATTTGCAAGCTCTCTTTCGTCACACTTCTCACAAACTCGCCAGGCCTTAAATTAACCTTTACGTACACAACTCAATTCAATCCTTTATCCTTCCCGGAGTTTCTTCAATTTTCCTCCGAGCATCCTATTATCTCTTAATTTCCCTCCCCACGCCATTATATCTTTTTCCATTCTGACCAAGGCGAACATCATCTTATACAATATTCTCCAACGTCGGTTCCCATTGTCCTTACGAAAATTACAGGTAAAGCGGGGCACGTGACGCTGGTATTCGCGTAATCGCTGAATAGAAAAAAAACAATTCTCCGTTCGAAACGAGGTACAGCACGAGAAAAGAGGGAAAAGAAAAAAAGGGGGGAAACGAGAGAAAAAAGAAAAAGTTTGAACAGAGTGACCGTACAAAAGGACAAAATCCCTGTGCGATGGAGAGATAAAAACGGGTGCTCTTTCTTAATCAAATAAATTAGGTATCCCTATCAACTTTCTCGAACGACCACTCAGTCCTTCCCCTTAAAAAAAAAAAAAAGAAACTTATTCGATTTCAATGTATTACCCTTAGCTTAGTTCTCGTTCAATTGCGTTCACCGTTTTGTCTTTTAATCATTGTTAACACGACGAATGACAAACGAGGAGGAAGAGACGTACAGAGTGAACCACAAATCGTGATCAATTTTACAGTTTGTAGAAATTGGATTAATTTACAGCGAAAAAAATATTTGCTACTTTTCTAGATGTTGAGGAAAGTATTGTAGTAATTTTAGAATGATCTGTTGCACTGTTTCTTGAGAATAAATTCATAAAGATCGCCTTGTCGATTGATTGAAATGAACGTTTAAAAAAGCAGACAATTTTCAAAATTTTTTCATGACCTTACTGATCGACGGAATTTTTTTATTTTTTAACCATATTTGCAAAACACGTTGGCAAAGCAAGAGAAAGTGTTTGACTGAAAAGTAGAAATTTTGTTGAAAGTTATGGGCGTTGTCCTCTTATCGTTATACGACTCAAAATCAGAAAATCCCAAAATCTCTAAAATAAAGAAATTAAAGTTTTTCTTATTAAACGTAATTCTATTGCTAGTGGATTTCGGTCGTCTTGAGGACCTCTTTGAACCACATTACGCGACGCAAAAGAAAATTCGATCGGTCCGCTAATAACACAATTATTTACCCCTTGATAACTCAATTTTTCTTAGTTGATGAGAGAAAAAGTTAGGATCGATTACAATTTCACGTTTTATCGGGAAAAACAAAACCGTTCCAAATAAACTGTGATCACTAATAACCGAAGTGACCTTAAGACTTATAAAATATAGACACAGTACGTAACTTCCAAGACGTATAACTTGGCCTCCATATAAAGGGTTCAACTGATCACGATTCGTGGTTCACCCTGTACACAAAAAGGAAAGAAAAGTAGAGACATCGTGTTCGTACTAATACGACTCTATCCACTCGCGACAAGATATGATCAGTCCGCAAAAACTCGTCTAAACGACACGTTGGTGCAGGTGTACTCTGTATCGCAGCGATACTTCAGTTCGTCCCGCGACTCGCTTCATGGGGCTTATATGAACCGCGGCGCTAGTGAGCTTGACCTAAGCCGCAAACCGAAGAGGAGGGACCAGCTCAGGGATAGATTCAAGTTGTCCTACCCGCTTTCGCCCTCGCGTAAGCAATCGCACTGCACACGTAGCAACAGCAGTTGCAACGACATCGAAACGTAAGTATCAAATGGATCGTGTATGTTTTTTCTTTTTCTTTTCGAAGATGATGGAGTTCCGCGTCTATGAACCAGACGTGAAGCTGCATCCTAAGTGTTGTGGTGAATGTGTGTAGTGGAATTTTGGTATTTTTGCTGTTAGCTTTAATATTGCTTTTTTCACGTTGTCCAACCCTTTGGCTTTGGTCGTGTCGTTTCAACCCTTTCGCTGCGGCTGATTTTAGTGCATAATTCGCGTGGCAGAACCAGATCGTTTCATCGCGGCTGGAAAATCTCTTTTGGCGGTGTCATTTTGAAATTTGTTTCGTTGAATTAAGATGGAAGTGTGCAACGGATGAAATTAAGGGTTAACCCTTTGACGGTCTGATATATTACGACTTAGATTAGCACTCAAAGGGTAGCAGGTAACAATCGTTGAACATTTGCCAATTCAGGTCAGTTACGATCAAAAGCAATCAAACTCCCAGTTAGTTAGAATAAAAACTATCAGGTTTTTGTCTATTTACAATCAGAAGTGACTAGTGCGGCGGTAGCCAGTTAATTTGCAAATGCAAATAAACGAAAAGAGCGTGAGATAAGCTCTTTATATGGTGTTTTTGTTAAAGCTTGGCATTATTTCTTCCAAGAATTCTAATATTTACACATCTCTTTAAATGCAGATAAAAATCACGAAATGTGTAATTATCGATAATCTGAACTTTCCATAATTCATTAATGTATTTTACAATTTTTTTTCTAAGTGAAAATTAAAATTACTATTGTTGAAAATCTGAACTTTCAATCTGAAAATCACATAAAATATATACAATATTATCGAAAAGCTTCTACTTTTTATAATTTAGTAATATAAATTACACGTCAATGTTCTCCCTTGATAAAACATTTTCCCTCGTTATAACGTACACAAATTCCACAAAACTGCTTTTTCCACTCGCTCACCCCACTTTCTCTCTCTCTCAGTATCTCAGAAACCAGTACAGAAACTCGCGTACAGAATCGATAACCTGATTACGACTCCACTTATGCGGCAAATTTAAAACAAATACGTCTCGGTTAATTCCGTGTGTATTTTGTATAAGCTCACAGTACAGTAACACTCAGCCATTTGAGTTATGCCGTGGCGCGGTTACGTGACGTGAGTGTTCAACTTGCAATTATATAGTTTCACGCAACCGGATAAATAGAAACTTCTGTCGAACACGTTGCGGACGTGGCAAGTACTCGTTCTCTATGTTGTAAATACACGCGTGTATTCTCCACCGAGAAACGGTTGTCCTCGTCACTGTATAGTTATTCGCGTGTCCGCGTTTTGTGTAAATTGGAAAGGTACGGTAAACCGGGATGTAATTTTTGTCGGTCGTTACTCCGGCTATGTACGGCGTATTTGACGGCAAGAAATATCCATTGGGTGAACGTGTGTATTCGGTGCTCGATAGTAATCTGAAGTCGTAAATATGTAGCAACAAATGCTCTACGCAACGAGAGAGTGTTGCGTACGCGTGTTATGGAGTTGTGCAAACAGTGAAATTGGACTATGAGGGTGAAACGATCGACGTGAAATCGAAAATTTAAATTTTCCAAAATGGTACCTTTGCGTTGCTACTTTTATCCCTGAAGCATTGATTTTTTTTTACTGTTTTCTGTATATGTTGTTTCTGTTTTTCTATTCTTTCTTTCTTTTTCTTTTTATTAAATTTTAACGTTGCATGAGCTGTCCATACGTTTAGAGTGAATATATTACGAGAAATTAGATTTAATTACAGAAAATTAAAGACTTTCGAAGATTTCTTATAAGTCGTCATTCTCCCACAGTAGGTATTCGTTGCAACAGCAACTGGAGCAATTTGGAAGCAGAGGTTACCCTGGACAACCGGGAATTAATTGGTCCTTTATCTTCGATCCCACGGGACGCCTGTGTTACTATTGGTCGATGGTGGTCTCCCTCGCCTTTCTTTATAACTTCTGGGTCATCATCTACAGGTTCGCCTTCCAAGAGATAAACGGTTAGTCTTTCTTCCTGCGACCTCGATTATGTTTGTTAGAAACTAATGCGAATTTCGTTACATCGGTTGTAATTCCACGATTGAAAATTTTCGCCGTGGAAAATGATACTAGGTCTTTCTTACAAATTAAGCGACCTTATTTTAACCCTTTGCAATCGAGTGACGACTGAAAATAATCGTCACTTGGTAAATAATTAATGAAGACAGAGAGAAGATCTATGGGCCTCTATAAATTTAGATAGTGCACTTCATTTCTACGTTAGTTTTCAGAAATTTCAAAGAAGAGATCCGAATTGTAACCTTTTCTGCAGCAAAATGATCTCCGAGTGCAAAGGGTTAATTAGGGTTAATTCCGGCCACTTTAATTTCTCAAAATAAAAAACGTCTGATTTGACTCTGTATGGTACTGCCACTTGTTAATCATGCTGCTAGTTAATATTCATCGTTTCTGTGACTATAGCAGTCTTTTATTTTAAACAAATAATGTGGCCATAAAGCTTGATATATAATAATTGCTGTAAAGAAAAATCCAGCCAAATGATCTTTTTTCGTTTTTTGTTTCCGATTTTATTACAACGTAAATTTATGCCTTCTCAATTAATATCAAAAAATTAACAAATGTGCAACTTGCTCAAATTTTATAGCTTATGTGGCTAGACTTTAAAATAGTTAGATTATTTTTTTTTTTTTTTTTGTTTTGGAGAAATTTGATTTTCTGTTATACAGGCGAAACACTATGGGTGTGGTTCTCCTTGGACTACTTCTCCGATTTTTTATACGTGCTGGACATACTGTTTCACGTCCGAACGGGATACTTAGATGACGGTTTGTTGCAAACCGACTCGAAGAAAATGCGGAAACACTATAGGAACAGCATCTCGTTTTACATGGATCTTGTGTGCCTGCTGCCCCTCGACTTTTTATACTTATCTATAGGATTCAACAGTATACTACGAAGTTCTAGGCTCGTAAAGATATACCGGTAAGTTTTGTGTATTCTGCAACATTTTGTTTTTTAGCGTGTTTCACCCAGAGTCGATTAAATTTTCATACTTGAGTATACATATACATAATACGTGAACAATTTTTTTAAATTATTACTCGTATTTTTCAGGGAAAATTCGTGTTGATAGTTATTTTTGTCAATTACTTTTCCAAATTTTGGTATATCGAGAAGAATTAATGACTAACAATATATCAACAATTTGTTTAGATCGTTGTTCTCATTTTTGAGAGAAAATTCATTTTAGTAATTATTTTTCAGTTAATTTATTCTCAATGATTAATCAATTACTTTTCCAAATTTTGATATATCGTGAAGAATCAATGATAAACTGATGTTTAATCCTTTCATTACTATGAACTCATATGTATAGTTTCGAAAAATTGTTCTCCATGCTCTGTGGACTCATTTATATATCCACGTGCAAACATTGAACGTGCACTGTGAATCTTCTGTTTGTTAACAAATACAGTTATTCCTTTGACGTAAATTACTGATAGCATCGGTACATACTCTTTGTTATTTACGGACAGTTGTCTTTGTTTAATACTACCGAAGTTTTGTCAGATGCTCTGTGATTATCCTAAAAATTTCTAAATACGTAAACAAAAAGGGAACAAATTTTCTTCGAATGGTTAATAACCGAAAATGCTATTAAATCTTCTCAACGAAATATACAAAATCTAAGTTTACTTAAAAAATTCAGCTTTGTCCTAACAAATAAGCAACGCATAATAAAACGTACGTCATAGCGCATTTTACCACTGAAAAGAATAATAATCGAAAATGCTATTTAATTATTTAAATACTGTCAAATTTTATTATTTTCCTTTCTCGAGGAATTGCACAAAATTTTAATTTACCAGTCGATTAAAAATTCCTGAAAATACAAGTTTCATCTTTTGTGAAAAATCCGATCTCACATTCGCTAATTAAATCATTCTCGATCATCCCCTTTCGAGCGTTCAATTGTTCCTCCATATCGGAAATATTAAAGCGCGAACAAAACTTGACCACTAGACAAACTTCGCCAACTATTGGTGTGTGTGGTTAAGTGAAAATTCCACGGTCTCTCTCTTTCTCTCACCGTGAAGAAAATTTTTGGTGCAATGTTTTAGGAGAATTTGAAAATTTCCGGGCAAAATCGCTATGACGAACGTGATTTTCTCATCACGGCGGGGAATCTCATGCAATCTTCCTTTTTTTTCTTTTATCGTTCGTTGGCACAACAGGTTCTGGGCGTTCATGGACAGAACCGAGCGACACACCAACTATCCGAATTTATTCCGCTCCACATCCTTGTTACATACTTTACTGGTGATCTTTCACTGGAACGGGTGCCTCTATCACATTATTTATAAGAACAACGGCTTCGGGAGTAAGAACTGGGTGTACAGCGATTCCGATACCGTGGACTTTGTGAAACAGTATTTGCAGAGCTACTACTGGTCTACGCTTGCTCTCACTACCATCGGTGATCTGCCCAGGTAATTCGATTTTGTTCTTCGGGATTCGGTCGATATCGTATCTACCCGCTTACGTGAAAATTCGCAACTTCGATGTAATAGAATGTTGAAGGTAGAAGCAAGCGAATAATTTATGGGAAGGATGGTGTTACGGAGAAATGGCAATTATGATATTGTGAACTTTGATAAGAAGAATGAGACGATAATTTATGGCAGAATAATTACGAAAAGTGATCGTTCCGAGGGTTCTTGATATTTTTATTTATTTTGTTGCAGTTTTCCTGGTTCAGTTGTGAGCTATTTTTCGACAACTTAAGGGCATTATTGTAAACTTTGATAAATGTTGAAAACAAGTCGATAATTTGTGGCAGAATAATTACGAATTCTTGATATTCTGATCTACTTTCTTGCATTTTTCTTGGTTGAGTTGTGAGTTATTTTTCGTCAATTTCAAGGCACTTTTTAAATTTGTATTGGTAATTAAGTGATTTGTATATTCTACAGAAAATTTACGTTTAATATTGAAAAGATAAATTTGAGATAACGCGGAGCAGTGAAGTAAGATAGAAGATCAGAATCTAGAAGGAAGAAAAATTCTTGAGGGGCTGAACTGTTGAAAATGTAGATAAGCTGCATGATATCACCTACTATACACAAGCACGAAAATTAGGATTATTGCGAGGAATTTGGACGACGACATTTTTTACCAAGTAATTCAACGAATTAGGATTCTTAATTAAACACTTTTTGTTGGAATTATGCAGGACATATAGTTAATGAAGTAGCTGCTATAACTTAAGCCAGAGGACAATTTGAATATTTTCTCGAAGGCGCATTTTATAATTTCATAGAACAATTCGTGCAAATTTAAGATTATACAATTTACAATTAGCAAAAATTTATGTAAAAAGTCTATTTTTTAAAAGATACAGAAAATTATAAGAATTATAAATAATGCTACATTTTGCTTTTAAATTACGTGTAATAACTAAATTACGCGTAATATATTCTTTCTTTAATATTTGCAATAACAATTATTTATTTCTTCCTATTTCAACCTATTAATAACAATTTTCAAATCAAAGCTATGTATCATATTTGACAAATTATTAATATCTTCGTATTTCAATCTATTAATAACAATTTTCAAATCAAAATACAGGTACAGTAAATTTTCTACAAGTGTCAGTCAGTTTGGATTCTACAAGTGTCAGTATAGATGGTCCTACGCCTAGGTCTGCGTCATTGCTGCGCCCATGTTATCTCGCTCGCTGTCAGTCACCACTTGGTTTCTTTTACGAGATTTCACGGCTCGACAATTCATAATAGGGTTAGGAAGGGTTAAGTAGTTTTTCTGAGGAGTATACAGTAGGGAGATATTTAACAAATTTTTTAGTTACTTTAACATTAATTTTCTTTTCTTTAGGTTACTAGGTTTGTAATAAATCTTCAGGAATCTTTTTTTAGTAGACGCCTTCACAATTTACCTCTATGCTTCAATAACTACCTTACTGTAACGAATTTTTATTCTACATTCTACGTCGTGCAATATTCTCAAGTATTTCATTGATAAATAATTCATTTCTCCTTATTTCAACCTATTAACCCTTTTCAGTCTTATTGTGTTAAACATATGTGAAGCTGAAAAAAATAATAAAAAAAATAAAATAATAGAAAAATAATACAAATAATAATCTTGCATTATATTATTAGCGTTCGTTGCCTGAGCTAAATACGACCGCAAAGGGTTAATAATACTTTTCAAAGTCAATATGTATACAGGGTGTCTCAGCTGATTTTCACATCTTGATTTTCTCGTTATTATTACTCATAGCGGAAAATGTTTCAGATGAAATTTAAACGGTGTCAAAGGGAGCATATCCTGGTGTTATTAATTCTTTCACGAGTGGAAAAGTTTCACTTTCATGAGAAAATCAAGATGTCAAAATCAGCCGAGACACCCTGTATGTATTTCACGAACAATTCGTTTCTTCCGTATTTCAGCAAATTCTGCCAAAATCCTGACGATGCATGAAAAAAGAAAAAAGAAGCGCAGGAAACTGCTGAAT